AGGTAACAGATTTATGAGTGTTGATTTTATAACCTGAGACGTTGCTGTATCCCTTGATTATTTCTAAGAGTTTTGTGGTGAAATTCCTCATGTCTTCCAGATATACAATCATATCATCTACGAAGAGTAAAAGTTTGATCTGCTCTGACCCTGTTTGGATATGCTTGATTGCCTTTATTTGCCTAATTGCAATGTCTAAGACTCCATTACAATGTTAAAAAGCAGTGGAGACAATGGGCAGCGTTTCCTGGTTCCTGATCTGAGTGGAAATTATCTCAGTTTAACTACATTCAATACAATATTGGCTGTCAGTTTGCTGTAGATGGCCTCTATCAGTTTAAGAAATGTCCTTTGTATACCAATTTTCTTAAGTGTTTTGATCCTGAAGAGATGCTGCATATTATTAAAAGCTTTTTCTGCATCAATTTAGAGTTTCATATGGTCTTTGTTTATGTGATGAATTATATTTATAGATTTACATATATTGAAACAGCCTTGAGACTGTGGGATAAAACCCAATTGATCATGGTGTTTAATTTGTTTGATGTGTTGCTGGATTCTGTTTGCTAGGATCTTATTGAATATTTTTCATCAATACTCATTAGAGATACTGGTCTATAATTTTCTTTTCTGTTGGGTCTTTTCCTGGTTTGGGTATTAAGGTGATGTTTGCTTCATAATTTGTGTTGGGTAGTATTCATTCTTTTTCTATATTTGTAAAAGGTTAAGTAAAGAAGTACTAGTTCCTCTTCAAAGGGATGGTAAAATTCTGATGTGAAAGCCATCTCCTCCTGGGCATCCTTTATTAGGTAGATTTTGTATAGTTGATGGTATTTCAGAACTTGTTATAGGCCTGTTAACATTTCCACTTCATTCTGTAAGTATAGAAAGGTGAAGTGCTTCCAAGTATTGGTAAGTTTCCTTCATATTTTCGTATTTCTGAGAATAGAGTTTCTTGTTATATTCATTAAGGATTTTTTGAATTTCTGAGAAGTCTGTTGTTATTTTGTCTTTACCATTTCGGATTGATGAAATAAAAGATTTTGCTCTTTATTTTCTGGTTAGGTTAGCCAAAGGTTTATCTATTTTATTGACCTTTTCAAAAAAACAACTTTTTGATTTATTGATCTGTTGTATAATCCTTTTATTTTCAATTTCATTTAATCCTGCTCTAATTTTGGTTATTTCTGTTCTTTTTGTGGGTTTGGGATTGGAATGTTCTTCCTTTTCCAGTTGCTTTAGATGTCCCATTAAGTTGTTAACTTCCTCTCTTTCCATTCTCTTGAGGAAGGCTTGCAGTGCTATAAATTTCCCTCGTAGGACTGCCTTTGCAGGATCCCAGAGGTTCTGATAATTCATTATTTTCATTATCATTTTCTTCCACAAATTTAGTAATTTCCTTCTTAATTTAGTCTATGAACCAGTTAGTCTTCAGCATAAGGTTAGTTTCCATGTTTTTGTATGTGTATGCAGATTTATGTTGTTACATAGTTCAACTTTTATTCCATATTGGTCCAAGAAGATTCAAGAAATGGTTTCTATTCTTTTAAATTTGCTGAGGTTAGACTTGTGACCTAAGGTATAATAAATTTTGGAGTATGTTACATCAGCTGATGAAAAGAATGTGTATTCAGTTTTGTTAGGATGAAATGTTCTGTAGATGTTTGTTAAATTCAAATGTTGAATGGTTAAGTTTACGTCTAACATTACTTTGCTTAGTATCTGCCCAATAGTACCAAAGGAGTACTAAAATCTTTGACTATTATGGTACTGGAGGAAATCAAGATGCTCATGTGTGTTAGAGTCTCTCTTATAAATGGAGGAGCATTCTGGTTGGGTCCATAAATGTTAATATTTGAAATCTCATCATGTTGAGTGTTACCCTTAACAAATATGACATGACCATTTTTATCTTTCCTTACTGTTGTTGGTTTAAATCCGGCCGTTTCTGTGAATAAAATTACAACAATTGCTTTTTTCTGATTGCTATTTGCCTGAATTATAGATGACCATCCCTTCACCCTGAGTCTATATTTATCTATTAAGGTAAGATGACATTCTTATATACAGCAGGTATCTGGCCTGAGTTTTTGTATCCAGTCAGCCAACCTGTACCTCTTTAGAGGACAATTTAAGCCATTTACAATAATTGTGAATATTGATAAGCCTAGTAGAATTTTGGTTATGGGGTTTTTCAAAAATCCAGTGGACATTTTTAATCCTTTCGCCACCGTGGAAGTTGGAATTTGATCAAAAGTATCTGAGTGAGTTTACTTTTGTGGTGGACAATTGCGCTGGCCATTATGGAGGATAGGTCTGAGAATATGCTAGAGAACTGGTTTAGTTATGGCAAATTTCTTGAATGTCATTAAAGTATTTAATTTCTCCATCATAAATGAAATTCACTTTAGCTGGATATTGAATCCTGGGATGAAAGTTATTTTGTTTTAGGAGATTAAAAGTCAATGATCTGGAGTCATTACAATATTCTTCCCCTTGTCAGTTATTGTTTTCTTACGTCTGGCTGCTTGTAGAATTGTCTCCTTCATTTTAACTTTGGTGAAGTTAATTATAATGTGTCTAGGAGATGTTTTATTTGAGTTGAGTCATGCTGGGGTTCTGCAGCTGTCTGCTATCTGAATTTCAGAATCTCTTGGTGTGTCTGGGAAATTCTCCTTCATTATTTCATGAAATAGGGCATCTATGTTTTTCAAAGCCACCTTGTCACCTTCAGGGATTCCTGTTTTCTTTGAAGTATCCCAGAGCTCTGTGAGAGAATGATCTGTTTCTGCTCTCCACTTCTCTTCCTCTTTGAGCATTTGGGAACATTCAACAGCTTTGTCTTCAATGTCAAAAATCCTTTCTTCTGCCTGTTCCATTCTGTTACTGAGAGATTGATCTATATTTCTCAGATCTTTGAGGGCTGCAAGTTCTTGTCTCAGTGTGTTAAAATCTTTGGTGATTTTGTCTTTAAATTCATTAAATTCTTAAGACAACTTTTGAAATGCTCCTCGAATTTCTAATTCCAACTTTACCTGCATTCTATTCATCTTATTTGCAATCCAAATTCCGAATTCAATTTCTGACATCTTAGCATTTGTTTATGAATGGTATCTTCAGTTGTGTCCGGCCTGTTGTTCCTTGGGGAAATTATCTACTCTGATTATTCAAGTTGCCAGAATTTTTCCACTGATTTTGCCCCATGATTATTTTGCACCATTTGGCTATATGAGCAGATAAGGTAATATTAGGTTGGGGGCTCTTATAATAGTGATTAATCAGCCCCTTGCCTAAGAGCTGGAACTGCTGTCTATACCTTTTCTCCTAGCACTTTGTTAAGGACTCAAATAGTGCTACAGCCTGAGACACTGGGGACCTGCTTGGTGTGGTGGGGCTAAGTGGGTCTGTTTTGTTTTCAGTTGGTCTATGTCCCACCCTAGTGAATCAGTTACTCTGGGTTGAAGTCTCAGCTATGGAGAAATATCAGCAATTAAGTCACACCACCCCCACGGGCAACAATTGTAAAAGGAAAATCAAACCTTCCCACAACCACACACCCAGAGTACCATTTGGGATAGTTCTCGGTGATTGGCCCAGTTCAAGAGGTCCAAATCAGTTATCTCAGTCAGCATCAGTGTCAGATGGGAGAGTTCAAAAGGTCTCTGGCAACTAGATAGTAGGGGTCTGCTGGCAGCTCGAGTATGAATCACTGTGGTGCTCTGTGGAGTCAGAAGGACCCACCCAGCAAATGAATTAGTCTGGGAAGGTTGATGCCTCCTTCCCACTTTGCACCTCTGTCACACCCCGTCCCTGGTAACCCCACAGGGCTATGACCCAGTTTCCTCCAATGAGCAGGTGCTCTAGGGGTTTGTGCCTGCCTGAGTCACAGGGAGATCTGTGTCTCCCCAGCCAGGCTTCTGCTCTCTGCCACTACCTGGCATTGGGAGCTAAGGCCTGACAACGTTGGGTGCTTAATGGAAGCTGGGCAGTTCACTCAATTCCAGCCCCACCCCTGATTGATGTTACTGACACTTATATTTTGGCAGAAATTGTTTCTGTGCCAGCTGTATCCCCCCTGTGGACCATATGCTGTTTGAGTTCCCAGAAATTGTAACTCAGCCCCAGTCTATGCCACTGCCCGGAGCTGACATCTCTGTCTCCATTGCTTTCAGTGTTGGGGCAGGCATGGTTAGACCTCACAATCAGTTGTTGATTTCTGCCTCTTCTCACCAGCTTTTGTCTCAGCTACCATGCCTTGAGGGCCAAATGCTGCTTAGGCTAACTAAAGCAGTCCTTCTGGCTCAGTCCCGCCTTGGGAGTATGCCCTCTCTGCACACATATTTTAGTCTGCCTCCCCACCATGCCCCACCCAGGCAGGTACTGCCTCAGGCATACCCTTTACTCATGGGGCCTGTGTTTCTGTCCCAGTTCTGTTCCACCAGTGGCTGTCACTGGAGATGATGCCCACCGAGGCAGGGAGTGTCTTTCCAAAATATCCCCAGGGGTGGGAACCCTGTTGTTCCTGCCTCTGCTACTACTCTGTGCCATGGGGCACTGCCTCTCCCTCTCCCATATGATTCCCTCAGTCCACCATCTTCTTATTCCCATGTCACAGAATCAGCACAGACCAACAACATCCCACACCCTGTCCACACCTCTCGAGGAAATGCCCAAGAATCTGGACTTCTTGGGGGACTGGCTTCCAGACTTCAGAGTGAGAGTGGAGGGGAGTGCTGGGAGTTCAGAAGTGTTGATAGAGAATACATACAGTTTTATACAGTTTAATGCCTGGCAGGAGAGGGCCATGGCACAATGGTGGGTCCTCTCTGGGGAAGGAGTTCCAGTTTTTATAGGATCTCTCCCAGGGGATAAAACAGGAGATATCTGAACTCTACTTGTTTGTTTATATATAGAAAGGATACTGGGAGCTATTCTCTTGTTGGATGGGAATCCCATCCACTTGGCGTTAGATTTTGTACCTACTGTTTATTTCCTTGGGGTCACATCTCGCCTCAGTTGAGTTGATATTGGTTCTTCAATGTTCTCTCTTGGGTCAGCTCCACACCATCAGCTTACTTGCTACACATCTGTCCTTTAACTCTCATTCTGGATGGAAGCCTCTCTGGATAGCTGGCTCCAGTGGCCCATCTTACCTCTAGCCCAATCAATATTTGGCTATTTCTTTTGTCATAGTTTCATAGTTCTCTTTATAGAGATCTTCTACGTCCTTTGCTAGGTACACGCCCAGATATTTCATTTTCTTTGGAACTACTGTAAAGGGAATAGAGTCCATGACTGTTTTTTCAGCTTGACTATTGTTGGTATATATGAATGCTACTGACTTGTGAGTATTGATTTTGTAGCCTAAAATGCTGCTATATTCCTTGATCACTTCTAAGAGTTTTATGGTTGAGTCCTTTGGTTTTCCAGGTATATATATGATCATATCATCTGCAAAGACTGAAAGTTTGATCTCTGACCCTATGCGGATACCCTTGATCACCTTTTCTTGTCTAATTGCAATGGCTAAAACTTCTATTATAATGTTAAAAAGCAGTGGAGACAATGGACAACCTTGCCTCATTCCTGATCTGAATGGAAATGATTTCAATTTAACTCCATTCAATATGATATTGGCTGTGGGTTTGCTCTAGATAGTCTCTATCAGTTTAAGAAAGTTTTCTTATATACCAAGTGTTCTGATCATGAAAGGATGCTGGATATTATCAAAAGCTTTTTCTGCAGCAATTGAGTGAATCAAATGGTCTCTGTTTTTTAATTTGTTTATGTGATGAATTATATTTATAGATTTGCGTATATTGAACAAGCCTTGAGACTCTGGGATAAAACCCAAATTGGTCATGGTGTATAATATGTTTGATGTGTTGCTGGATTCTGTTTGCTAGGATCTTGTTGAATATTTTTCATCAATAATCATTAGAGATATTGATCTATAATTTTCTTTTCTCATTGGGTCTTTTCCTGGTTTGAGGATCAAGGTGATGTTTGCTTCATAGAATGTGTTGGGTAGTATTCCTTTTTTTTCTATATTTTGGAAAAGGTTAAGTAATATAGGTACTAGATCCTCTTTAAATGTTTGGTAGAATTCTGATGTGAAGCCATCTGGTCCCAGGCTTTCCTTTTTAGGGA